GGATGCTGTGTCTGGGGGTGCTGTGTGTGTCTGGGGGATGCTGTGTGTGTCTGGGGGATGCTGTGTCTGGGGGATGCTGTGTCTGGGGGTGCTGTGTGTGTCTGGGGGATGCTGTGTCTGGGGGTGCTGTGTGTGTCTCTGGGGGTGCTGTGTGTGTGAGTGAATGTATTTTTTATGTAAATTTAAATATTTTTTTTTTACTAATAAAAATTAAAAAAATTATTCCCCTCCCTTCTTACCTTTATCCTGGGAGGGGGAGGAGGAGATCCGTTATGCCTGGGGAGGTGGGAGCCATGCTGCCTTCCCTGGTGGTCCAGTGGTGAGAGTGAACTCTAACCTGGAGGTTAGAGTTCATCTCTCGCAACGCTCAGAATCCCGCGAGAGGACCGGCGGAGCTGCTTGTAAGAGCTCCGCTGGGTCCTCTCTCCTCCCTCACCCAGCCGGCGGCCGCATCTCCCTGTCTGTGGGCCGGTGAGGGAGATCTTTGATCTCCCCACCGGCCCATGGAGGCACACAGCGGGGCCGGCGCTCGGGTAGCGCTGGCCCTGCAGGGGCCGTCCGGGGAGATCCTGTGATCTCCCTGCCGGCCTCGGCCCCACGGCCATCGCGGCCCACCGGGCATTTGCCCGGTATGCCCGATGGCCAGTCCGGGCCTGCTTGCAGTAACTAAAGCTGCAGCTATTGCAAATAAACTTTTCATATTCTCCCTAAAAAAAAACATGCAAAAAAAGCATGTTTAATTTTGGGTGTGTATACTAAATTGTTAAAGGAATGTATGTAAATATATATATATATTTGCCTGGATTTGTGGGAGGTGCTGGTTTGCTACCCCTAGCCTACTTAAGGCACTCCCCTTACCTGGCTCCTTACCGTTCGAGGTCAGCGTTGAATGAGGATCCACTTCCGGGTTCTCTCAGACGCCATCTTGGTTTCAGTATCCACGAGGTTTTCACCACGATAGCTGTGTCCAGGAACCCTGTTCAGGCCTTTCCGCCCGTCCAGCTTCTTCTGACACCGGTCTTCATCGTAGATCGCGTTCCAGGGACTCCTAAACCGTAAGTCAGACCTACCTGTCACGCCAGGACCAGTTCCCACGGCGTACGGTACAGCACGGGTCCTCGCTTTACGGTTTTTCCCTGTTGATGTCACGAATGTTTCAAGCCGTTCGCGGGTTTTTTCAATCATACGGTCATTCGGCTGAACAGTATATTCGTACAATAGTCATTTCGCATATAAACTATTCCATGTTACATTGAAACGGATTATCAATTCGGTTGTTTTGCCGTTCGGCAATTTTCATATACGCTCAAACACGCTTGCAGTTCGCATAAGTTCATACGGTTAAACTATTCGTTCTAACTTCTGTTTTCCCTCACATTGGCTTTCGGCTTTATTTCTATGTATTACGCATAATCCTTTCGTGGATTATATTCACCATTTCATGTATATAACATTCGGTTAACGAATTGCTTGTTTAAATAGATAGATTATTTCTATTACTCTTTAAATGTTTCAGTATTGTATTATGTCCATACAAACCAAGTCCACTTATCTGTATAGATCATTTTGACTCCCACGCTTTCAGGGGTCTGCATTACTTATCCATCCATCCAAATGGACTCAGCCTACGTTACAGGCCTCATTTCTGTGTTATTACTACGACACATACAAAAGGATACAGTTTAATTTCAAGCAATAATTCTCGGGTTGAATCACGTACTGATCCAACCAATCATACGTCTTTTTCAATACAGATATATCATATATATATACACACACACACACATCACTTTAAGCATTTTGGGTATCCCTGCCTTTTGTTATTCTACTACATATCATACCTAACGCTGTGTAAAATAGGCCATGACTTCAACCATGTTCTTTTCTATCAAACCAGCTACATTTCTGTACGGATCATTGAACTCCCACGCTTACAGGAGTTTTCATAATTATCCATTTCATTTCAATTAACTCAGCCTACGTTACAGGCCTCATTTCTTTGTCATGACCATGACACATAAGGCTCAATTCCTTTTCATGCATACTCGGGTTGAATCACACGTACTGATCCAACCAATCATACGTTTCCTGCACAGTAATATACATATATATATAACCTACATTTTATGTTTCCCTTACACACCATTATCGTATAACACATATGTTGTTTGTACATAGGCCACGGCCTCCCTCAGATGTCTTATTTAAGCATGAAAACATTTCTGAGCCACTTATATCTATTCCCATGGTATCAACATTTTTTAAAACATTGCTGCTACAGGCTATAAGTCTGTTTTCTTTTCAACAATCCACACTCATCATACTATTCTCTTTTACCCATTTCAGGCTGTCAAGCTTATATATATTTGCTCCACACGGTTTATTCCTGTGAATTTGTCATACTACCAGGTACGTACACCTGCTCATATGGTATTCTACCATACATTTCATTTCGTCCCCCTAGGTTAGAGTACTGGCAATAGGGTCACGGGCTTCCCAATAGGTATTTACCCCGTCTCGGCAGTCGCCATCAGTTAGTGGTCCCGCGAGGCCAACACCCCGCCTCAAACGTTCCAGAGGCAAACACCCATCAGGCCACACGTTAGCTAGCCGCCTCGCATGTTGCATAGAGAGGGCCTCACCTGTCACTCCCTTCCCCTGTTTTCTGGCTTACAGTCACCGAGAGGCCTAAACTCCTGCCACTACGTCGAGTGGCCTCAATAACCCCTCGCGCCAACGCATAGATAAAGCCTCTCAAGCCGCTTGGCAATTAGCAGGGCCTCACCTGTCCCCAAACAAGTATAATGTTTCGCCATCCGGGCTAGCTAGCCTGCCAGTACAATTTGGTGGTTTCATATACTAATTAATTGTTTTATTTATAGTATGTCTCAGGAAGGGGTAGAGGATTTCTCCCTGCCTAGCACCCCGGCTAGAGCTGTCACTCCCACACAAGGAGGAGAGCTAGCTAGTCCAGCATCAATCAGATCCTGGACGATCCCGCGTATAACCACGGAATTGAGGAGACGACAAATCCCCTACCCCACTACAGCAAGGAAAGCAGAACTTTTCAAACTGCTACGCACATCGACAAATAACATGGATGCCGGGGAAGGATCTAGCCAGTCCAACACAGGAGGCATACATGCCATGTTATCCTCACTCATGGTGTCCATGAGCAAGGTCAACTCCAGGCTGGAGAAACTTGAGTCGGTCACCACGGCCCTCACTCTAGCAGGGCCACCCGCTGCTGCGGCACAAACACCAGCCTTGCCATTAGTTGCTCCAGCCATCACCCTGGATGACCAGGAAGTTAGCCTGGCTCATATGATACCTGAGCACATAAAAAGGGATATCCTGGAAGGTAAAGACGTCAACCTGGCTTCCCTGTTGATTGCCTCCCAGGATATTGCTGAGAATAAGACGTATGCTTATGATGATGTATCTGTTGTTGTCAGATCTAGGGATGCCCGCCTGAACAGGAAACTGACTATCCCTGAATTTGTACTAGCTTTTGGTATTTACAGGGATGTCATCTGTGCGGTCTATCCCAACAGAAGAGAGGAGTTTGATCTCTATATGCACAAGCTGGTAGACCTGGGCAACAAATAAGGTGGTTCAGCCTTTTATGACTACCATAGGTCTTTTTCTCCAAAAGTGTCTGGAGCCTTCTCCCAGTACGGAACACGATCCAACTGGGGAAGGATTGATACCGTCATATTTTGCAGACACTTTGCAGGTCTAAGAACACCGACTTGTGCATACTGCTCCTCCACAGCCCATACTACAAATTTTTGTCCCAACACGGCAGACGGACATGCCTCCACGCAAGGAGCTAGTTCCTCTGGGGATCCAGGGAAGTTGTCAATCAAGTTTCTGGGCAAGTCCCAGATATGTAATAATTTCAATGTTGGGTCTTGTAATTACAGTGGATGTAGACTATTGCATGTCTGTTCAAAATGTTTTAGGGCACATGCAAAGACCATGTGTCCAAATAAAATGTATTCCAAGCCTTACCTAACGTCCATTAACATGCCAGTATTCACGGCATTTATGTCTCAGCACCCATCTAGACACCTGGTAGACTTTCTTATCTCTGGTTTAACAGAAGGCTTCCATACAGGTATCCTACACATACCAGCCGGAACTCTGGAATGCCCTAATCTACAATCCGCCCAACACAACCCCACAGCGGTTGACACCCTCATAGGCCAAGAAGTGGATGAGGGCTTCGTATTGGGGCCTTTTAGAACTCCTCCATTCATAGAATGGTGCACCAACCCCATTGGTATTGTCACAGGGAAATCTTCCCAAAAACAGAGACTCATC